ATTAGGCAAACCTAAGATGTATCATAAAATAAAAAAACACAAAAAATTTTAATATTCCCTGAACTACTACATAATTTAAAGAATTAAGCTATATGGTGCCGTAACTTGTACTGTTTGCTTAAGTTATTATGTCTAGTTAATAGTAAGCATCCCCTTCCCAAAAAAACACAGTATCAAACTCTGTCACATTTAGGTACATGGCCCTCAGATAAATCACTCAGTCTACTGGACAGAATGAAGATAAATGGGTTACCTGACATAAAGGCTTAAGTTAGAATTTAAAGGTAATAATTCAGGACCTAGCGTAGTTCCCATTGTGCAGTATCTACTCAATTGGTACAAGTTTAGATCTTGCTTTCCTGGCTAGATTATCATCATTTAGGGATGATTTTTTTTTAAATTCCCCCAAATACAAGGCAGTGTTAGTTGCAAGTAAGGTTGAGATCAAGAAAAGTACTTCTAAATTCATGCTTTTTCACTTCAGCTGTAAACATCAACTAAATCATTTTTAAAAGAAACCTACAAATTTGCATGTAATCTAGGGGAATAAATCATTGCTGAATCAGTACTTTTATAAGAAAGTCTAAACTCTTCTTTCAGCCTAAGGTAGTCCATGACACACTCAAAGTAAAAGTGCCTAAAAAATACAAAGTCTGCAGAAATAACTTGTCTAAAATTGACTATCCAAACCTGTTGTAATAGTATGTGGCTACAGTTCCAGCACTTGAGAAGCTGAGGTAGGAAGGTCACCACAATGGCCAGCTGAACTATAAAGCAAAACTGTATCACAAAACCCAAGACCATGCCAGGCATGGTGGCGTACTCGGGAGACTGAGGCAAGAGAATCTCCACAGGTTTGAGGCCAGTTTGGCCTACATAGTGAATTCAAGGCCAGCCTGAACTACAAGAGGGGAGAGGGGAGAGCAGAGAGGGAGAGAGGAAGACAAGGGTGGGGGGACACCAGGGGAGGGGGGGGAGGAAAACAAGAGGAGGGAGGAGGAGGGGAGGGGGAGAGGGAGGAAAGGGAACGAAGGAGGGGGAGCGAGACCAAGAGAGACAGACAGACAGAGACAGAGAAAGACACAGAACTTTGCCAACCAGAAAAAAAACTTTATCATAGAAATGAAAAGGCCCTGTGCGTTGATTGGCACTGTCCTCACTATGCAAGACAAGTTCTCATTCCCAGGGTTAAATAGTGATCTAAATCCTTAAAACTTGTGTTATATGCCTCAATAAAGATTCTGTCCTTTTTTTAAAAATGTCCTTCAATCATCTCTGAAATACAAATAACGCAAAAGAGACATTTCCCCAACATTTAGTTGTGTATAACTAGAATTAAACTTCTATTATATAAAAATACATCTTGACTGAAGTTGTAACTCAAATAGAACTTGAAGACATGATGCAAGTAGAGACAGCTTCCAGTAATACTCCCTTATGGAATAAAGAGATACCCACCTCTAGAAATACAAAATAGCAAAACCCATCCAAATCAATTGAGTTTTGTATTCTCTACAATGTTTCATTATTTCATTTCCTCTAGAAGTTTAGTCCTTTTACTGCTGTATTACAGCAAAAGTTCCCAAATACTATCCACTGTGAAGAATTCTTTTTTTAAAAAAAAGGATGTTGCCGGGTGTGGTGGTGCACACCTGTAATCCCAGCACTGGCCTATAATGCCAGCACTGGCCTATGATCCCAGCACTGGGGAGGTTGAGGCAGGAGGATCAGTCACTGCAAGTTCAAGACCAGCCTGGGCTACAAAGTGAGCTCAAAGCCAGCCTGAACTGCATAGCAAGACCCTGTCTCAAAACGACCAAAAAAAAAAAAGGTTGTCCAGTCACCCTAGTGAATATATACTACCTCCAAAAAGATCTTTTAGAAGACACCAAACCACAAAGTCCTCTACTTAAAACATAGTAAAATTATTCTCCTAGGTAAAAACACATCACAACAGAGAAACCCAGAAAAAGGGAAAAAAGGCTCAGGAAAAGAACTAGTTCCTAGGTCAATTAAAGACTTCTTGGTTATTATGGATATTTCTATATTAACAGTTAAAATATGTACATTAACATTTATATTAATACAGTAATACCTCAATTCATGAATGCTTCTGTTTGCAAACAATTCAGACCTCAAAAGCTTTTGACAAAATTCTGCTTCCATTCACAAACTCCACATCAGGTGACAAACATAACCATAGCCATCTTCCCCATACAAACACAGCCATTTTTCCCCCCAAGTCATAAAACTAATTTGTAAACTGAGGTACCACGGTACATATTAATATGAACGTATGACTATATATGTTGTGTTGTGACTATATAGTTATAGATTATAATAAATTGAGCCAACTGTCTAATCAAAAATGTTTCAGAGACCCTGTCTCAAAAAAACAAAAATGAACAAAAAAAAAAAATGCTTCAAATTGGGCACAGTAGCACACACCTGTAATCCCAGCACTTTGGAGGCGGAGACAGGAGCCAAGTTCAAGGCCAGCCTGGGCTACACAGTGAGTTTAAGTCTAGCCTGAACTACAAAGCAAGATCTGTCTCAAAAGTTTCAATTTTGAGTGCTACTCAAAATCATATTATTTGTGAGTTTTAAACTATTTTCCTCTACTGATACGTTTCTAGAAATCACCCACAAGTTCTAATGAGAACCTGTCAAAGCACAGCCACAAGAATTAAGTAACCTAAAATGTTAATGTTACAGTGGATATCTGACATCACCAGCTAAATTCCTTATTAGCTTTTCGTAGTAAGACAGCTTGCTGCCAACTCAATTAATTCTGCATTTTCACATTAAAATTTACTACTACTTGTGTTTTTAAAAAATTCAGGGCATGGGGCTTGGAACAGCTCCACTGTAATCCGAGCACTCTGAAGAGCTGACAAAGAAGGATAAAAGTTCAAGTTCACCTTGGGAAATTTAGTGACTTAGTGAGTTTCTATCTAAAAAATAAAAAGGATGGGGTGTGTGAAGGCCCTGGGTTCAATCTACCACAAAAACAAAACCTAGTGCTATCTTATTACTACTCAGTAAAAATGTTCTTGTAGATTTATCTGTTAATTTGTAAAGTACCTATTTGTAGAGCTCCAAAAAAGGTCTTTTATTTTAACTGCTGAAACTAAACTGGCAGCTCAGGGGCTGGGGATTTAGCTCAGCGGCAAAGCGCGCCTGCCTAGCAAGCGCAAGGTCGTGAGTTCGGTTCCCAGTACCAGAGAAAAACCAAAAAATAAAAAAAATTAAAAAAATAAACTGGCAGCTCAAAGGTTACCAAATTTCAGTGAATGGACTCCCTATGGAGCTGCATCCTCTTTAAAATAGGAAATATTCCTTTAAGGGAAGTTAGTTGTAACTTTAAAATACCTACTTTTTTTCGTGTATTAAGATAGGATGCTGACCCCAAACTCAAGGCAATTCTCCTGCCTCAGCTTTCCAAGTGCTGGGATTTAGACTTGCCCCACCATGCTACCTACCACACCCAGCAAATATTTAATTAATGCTCCCTCCACCTCCACAAGTAGCCCAAGTTGAATGATGATCCTCCCCCCTCAGTCTTCCCAGTTCTGGGATAAAAGGCATGTGCCATCAAGCCCAGCTTAATGAATTCCCTTTCAAAAGACTTATCTTCTTTCAAGAACCACACTTTTCTAATGTTAAACCTGTAGTCTACTCAACTGTGTGTACAAAGCAATGAAAGCAATATAGAAGAGCTAAATAAAGTATACGCACATTTTCCTCCTTAAAATGTGATACAGGCTGAGCATCCCTAACCTGAAAATCAGAAATTCAAACAAGGCTGTGTGGTAGTGCACACCTGTGACCCCAGCACTAAGGAGGGAGGCTGAGGTAGGGGGTAAATGTGAGTTCAAGGCTAGCCTCAACTACGTAAGAAGTTCAAGAGTTCAAGACTAGCCTGGACTACACAGAGACACTGTCTGAAAAAAAAAAGTAAACCAGAAGCAAAGTTTCAAATTTAAGCCTACATTGTCGTGTATGTCTATAAACCAAATACTGGGAAGGCTGAGACAGGAAGCTATCAAGTTGAAGCCCAATCTCGGCAATTTCAGAACTCAGCTGGATGCCATTTCAAATTGTGAAAAGGGCTGGAGATGCAGCACAGTGTGAAGATTCTAGGTTTGATCCCTAGCACACCAAAGTTTCAGATTTCAAAGCATCTCAGATTTTCTGATTAAGGATGCTCAACTGTTAAAAGCCTATGCCAACATCCCCAAAATTCAAACTGCCCTGAAATACATTTATCTGGTAAAACTGAAAATACCAACTTTTTTGAATAAGGGATACTCAGCCTATGTATTTGATGGTAAGGAAAGAGAAAAAAAAAAATTTCCTGGTGAAACCAGTCTGAAGATTTTGTTTGCTTGGAATTATAAAACTTATAAGCCAGTTAAAGCAAATTTAACACATTTGCTATAGTGAGCTATCAAAACTTTCTCCTCGGTAGTATTTCTTTGTATAGCCATTGGTTTAAATTCACCCCTGGCTCTGAAACTTTGTTACTGTAGAAATCTTGACTCAGAGAATTTATGTGAACTGCAGCTATAATAAGCCATAATCTCAAACAATTTTAAAAAGACAACTAGGTCTTCACTCACCTAACATTGTATTTCTAAATCAAATACTGCCACTCACAAAATCTTTTATTTCATTATCTAGAAATTTAAATTATCAGAATGTCTGAATTTTTGAAAAGGGATGATCCAAGTGTAGCCAAAAGCCCTATTACAGTTATTTCCTTAAACTTTTCAGATTGCTGTAAATTCAAGCACACAAACAAAACTATTACCATGCTAGATGTCTCAAGAACCATTAGATTCTACCACACTACTTTTCATCAATTGTCCATGCAAAAAACAGAGAAAGTGAAAAGATGCACACTTCAAAAAACTATTTGGTAAACTCTTATGCCACAGTAAGAAAAAAAGCAAGCATTAAAGATAATGACTGTGAACCGTGAAGGGAAAAACACTTACCAGTTTAACAGCCTCCTGTGCTGCTTCTTTTGTACAAAAAGTGACAAACGCATAACCTCTATTGAGACCAGTGAGTGGATCCATCATTAGACGAAGATCCCATATAGGTCCAGCTTTTTCAAATAATGGAACAAGCTCATCTTCAAATAGATCTCTTGGGATCTTCCCCACAAATATCTGTAAATTAAATATAAAGTAAAAGCCATGAAAAATTCTTTAGGACACCAGATACCTGTGCTTTCACTACAAAAGGTACAAGTTTAGTTTCTTTACCTCAGTGCCAACAGAAGGCTGCTGACCTGAATAAACGGAATCTGGAGGTGGTCCCCCATACTTCCTCTGCCCAGTGGTCACATCAAGTGTGTAGCCTGTTCTTTCCAAGAGTGCCTTGAAAAGTTCAAATGTTATTAACACATTTTATTCACAAGATCACACACCTATACATTCAGCAGTTAAAAACCAACCTTGTTCAAACCTTCCCAATTATCTTAGTAACATTCCTCCATAAACCAGTTTCTGGGGTCTGTTTCTGAATTTCCCTACTGGTAAGTACATCTTATAACCCAAGTTCACTGTCAAAATTTCAAATGCTGGGCAAAGTACTTTCTAGTTTTCATTACTTAATCAGAACAAAATGTTACCTATACTGCTAAGGTCACCTAAAAAAAATGTACCTAATTTGGTCAAGTATCTCCCGACTCTGGACTTCTCATCCAACAAATTCCCCATACCTAACTTGTAGGCATACACTGCCACTCTGGGCATTTTGCCAACCTCTGAGAGTATTACACTTCCCATATCAAGTCTAGAAACTTGGAAGGTAAAGGAAAAAAACTCTTATTATTTGACATTAAAATATCATTCCTCATAAGACAGCATGGATCATTCAGAAAAAAGACAAAATGACTGACCTGTATGAAACTGCAACATTGTACTATAACTTCTACATCTCTCACTGAAAATGAACTGCTAGAATTTATAAAACTCATTGAACTCAGAGTTCTCAGCACCCCTTACAAAAGCAGCTTATCCAGCCTTAAAGAAAAGTCAAGATTTCCCGTCTGCATCACAAAACTAGTTTTTCTAAGTAACAAATCTGGGGGCTGGGGATTTAGCTCAGTGGCACAGCGCCTGCCTGGCAAGTGTAAGGTCATGAGTTCGATTCCTAGTACCGGAAAAAAAATAAAAAATAAAAAAATAACAAATCTATTAGCTGCTAATTCTGAAATAAAAAGATCTAACACTAGGCACATAAAAAAAACTTACTAAAATGTGTTAAATGACATCGGGGCAAGTGACCTCAGTCTCCAAAAGTACATTAAATAAAAAATTGCCAGCCTGGGGGTATTTTATCATGGGCATACTTGATGCCCTGAGTTTGATCCCCAGCACCCAGAAATACAAAAATTTGTTTAAAAAAAAAAAAAAAAAGCTTCTCTGCAAGAAAAGGGTTCACAAAAAGCTTTGTAGTCTAACTTTTTTCTGTAACACCCAAATACGATTGCTTAATGGTGCATCAACATGACAAGAAAACTAAAACTCAAATCTATGACTATGAAGATCTATGACTGCAGAGTATGGTCCACACACCTGTAATCCCAAGCACTTGGGAGGCTGAGGCAAGAGGATTGCTATGAATTTGAGGCCAACCTGGGCTAGAAAGTAAGTTCAAGGCCAGCCTGGGCTGCATAGTAAGTTTAAGGCCACCCTGGGCTACATAGCAAGACACAGTATCAAAAAAAAACTATGACTATCACATGAACTGAACCATCAAACTGCTCATTTTCCCTTTTTCTCATATGTAATCCCTATGCTATAAAAGGAATTATGCCTTTTTCACCTTAATCTTCACATGACCCTAATAACACCTTTTGTCAATCTATTAAAAGAAACGAGGCTGGGCGTAGTAGCACATGCTTCTAACCCCAGCACCTGGGGAGGCTGAATCAGGAGGATCCCTGTGAGTTCGAGGCCAGTCTGGTCTACTCAGTGAGTTCAAGGCAGGGGACAGCCTGAACTGTAAGATTCTGTCTCAAAACAAAAACAACCCTATTATTCCCTGCAAAACATCCTATACAGATGTTTTATTTTTTGGTCACACTTCAAGTCCTATTAAAGGTTTAAGCCGCCTCCTCCCAAAGACTGAACTGAAAGTCACACAAGCTAATTTCCATAAAATTTTAAACTCAACTCCCCAATATATTCTTAATTACAACTGGCACAACTAACCCCATTTTTATTGGAAAAACTCACGTAGTTCAATTGCAATTCCTTCACAACCACCTCAAATCCATGATGTATAGTGAAGCTAACTCCATATTCTATGCTTCCCTCTTTCTACATCATTAAAATACTACCTAACATCTACGCTCCTTTTTGTTTTGTTGTGTGAGACAGGATCTCACTATGTAGTTCAGGCTGGCCTCGAACTGCAGGCTATCCTCCTGCCTTCCAGATTGGGATCAGAGGCGTGTACTAACACACCCCACTTCCATGCCATTCTTAGTAACTAAATTTCTTAAAATGTAATCCTAGGCCCAAGAACAGTATCACGCTATAAACACCAAGTTGAAAACAAACATGAACCATATTTTTAATAAACAAATCAAAGATCAAAATCTCACTGAACTCCAGACAGACCAATCTTCCACACCACTAAGAGCCTTTTACTTTCAACATGTTTCCTTATTTACATGCCCACGCGTAACAACTTTATCATTAAAAGCAGCTTTTAGAAATAAAGATAGCCAGGTACAGTGGTGCACGCCTGTAATCCTAATATTTGGGAAGCTGAGACAGAAGGATCAGAAGGAGTTCTAGGCCAGTCTGGGTTACACAGCAAGTTGGAGTTCAAGACAGCCTAAACTGCACAGGAGACCTTGTCTCAAAAAAAAATAATAAAATAAAAAAATAAACAATATAAACTCAATAAGCCACACTAATGGAAAAGGCAGTATCAGAACTCTAAATCCACTAGGGTTTGAGCCTCCTAAAAGAAGCACTCAACTGCTAAGTATACACTTCCCACCAGCATAAGGTAAAATGGTTCTCTCCCACTTTGATTTGACTGTTAGTAACCTGAACTTGCACCTTTTCAATCACTTATTGGAATCATTAGAAGCTCCAATGTAGGAGCCAGACATGTTGGCTGCACACTTGTAATCCCAGCACTCAAGCTGAGAGGCAGGAGGACTGGTACAAGTTTGAGACCAGCATGAACTTACACAGTGAGACCCTTTCTCCAAAAAAACCACAGATTTAATCATCAGATGGGCAGTTTAAAATGGTGGAGTCCTTTTCAAAATACTAATTATAAAAGACTAATGACAGTAAAAATATACACTCAGGTCACACCCAAAGAATATTTACCAACACTAGAAAATATTAGAAGACCTTTAAAAATAAGACTTTTGGGGCAGGGAAATAGCTCAGCAGCGCAAGCGCCTGCCTGGCAAGCGCAAGGTCCTGGGTTCAATTCTTGATATCCCCCCAAAAATAAGACTTTTTAAAGACATACCTTAATTTTAGCCTCATCTGGTCCTTTACTAGAGTCTGCTACTTTGGTCCCCTGTTTTTCTCTCTGCCTGTAAGTCTTCATGACTCCACATAAAAAGGCACTTTTGTTCTGCAAAGAAATTTTCCATTCATATTTTAAAATGTTCGTATTTCGATGTAACAAAATTTTTAATAAGCATATCAAAAATACTCCAAATTTGTTCATTCTTTCTACACTGAGGTTAAATTAATATTACCTGAACATGAGAGAGATCACTGTCTTTAAACTGTTGAAGAACTGCCAATGCGCCGTCTTCATTGAATTCTTTTAAAGCTTCGATAGCTCTTTCATCTAAATCACTATGTGCAACTAGCCCTGGAGAAGAGAAAACTTAAATTAGTTATCAACTTCTAACATTTCTGGTAGAGTTTTTTTTCCCCCCTCAAGACCCTCATGCCACTACAGATATACGTGTAACAATCCTATCCCTGTATCTACATAGTGAAAAACACGTACCTTAAGCCCTTAACTAAGGCCTCTCAACCACTTACAATAAGGAGCCCATTTTACATCCTTTGTGTCCAAGTTACAGAGTGAACATTACAGTATTTCCACAGTGAATGTACAGACTTACAAATCCTAAAGACAACCAACGAAGTACCAAACACGACAACTGAACCTATGCTCAACTCCAAGTACCGCTAGAAAGAAGAACCGCCACACAAGACAGAAAACACAACTACAGCTACCAAGTTATTTCACAAGAATCCTACTATAAAAATACCCAAAAAAGTCACATGGTCTGTTCCCAACGTTTAGCAGCTGTTATGACTATCATATACTTATCCAACAGGCCGCCAGCCTTTCCTTAGGGAGGGTCTATCCCTCTCTTCCCTCCCTCTCTGCACCTGAACCTCGAGTTCAAACCTAAATCAACTATCAGAACAAGGCAAAGCTCCAGTTCCCACACTTAATTGGAAACCACAAAAAGTTGCTATTTTAGCTCAAAGCCAGAAATCCAATAGAGAAATTTCATAATGCAATTTTGCAAGTGTTAGTTCTTACCTGCAACGTAAATTTCATCTAGTTTTTCAGCAACTTTCTGTGGTAAACCAGCATCAAGCAATGTCTGAAAATTTTCTGAATGGATAACTGCAGAAGTAGTATCCATGGGCTCTTCAGTACCATTTCCATTAACATGTTCTGTAGCCATGTTTCCAGAGATCTGTTCAAACGCAATAAGCAAAATTAAACTAGGATCTTCAAAAAGAATAGAGGACAATGTAAGAGCCCCAATCTTTACTTTCTCTACCACTTACTACACCAGCAAGCCTGCACCTCCCTTGAAAGAAGCCTTCAAGTCACCAATCGCCTGACATGCCAATTTGGAGCAGAGCACAGAAGGACCAATTCACTCTTTTCTTCCTGAGCACCACCCCTAACTCACCTGCTATCACTCCCTAGGAAAAACCGGATTGCAAATGAAGCCCAATCAGTGCGAGGACCCGGCAGAGCGCCACATGCAGCTGTGCCCGCACGGAGAAGAAGGTGTGTGAGAATAAAGCAAAGCTGGGCTTGTCCCTCTCCAAGGTAAACCCCCGAAGTGCGCTTTTCCCGCCTGCCGCTTATACATCAGTAACAACAGCCAGCGAAGAACAAAGCGCTCACACAAGCCACCTACCCACCACCCAATTTCTCCACCCTTCACCCCACGCCCCAGAGCCCGCCCCCGACTCCGCACCCAGCGCGGCGGCCTCAGCGCTGCGGCCGCGGGAGCCCATTAGAAACACGTGCTCTGCGCCTCCGAATGTCCTACAACTTCCTCCGCCGGAACCCACGGGGTCCCCGGCCCAGACGGCCGCCACCGGCCCCCGGCACCCCGCACCGCGCTCCGAGCCCCCCGAACGCTGCCGCACCACAACCTCGCCCCTCCACGCCGG